GTCTTCGGCGGGTTCGACCCCGACCTGGGCCTAGTGGGCCGTCCAGGGGATGTTGCCTGCGCGGGGCGCCACGACAAATGTTCTTTCCGGGTTAAGAAGCTCATCGTTCTAGCGGGCCGGGGCGCGCGCGAAGCTGCGGCATGCCCTCCTCAGTTGGCTCGCTGTCTCGCTCGGGCGTTGTTTTCACCGCTTTGGGCCGAACAGCATTCGATCTAATTCGCCTCCGCCCTTTTTCTTTATATTGCGTGTGCGTCTCGGCCACCCGCTCCCAGCGGCTGTCAATTTCGGCCTGGGCCCCAAAGTTTTGGGATGCGGCGCAGATTTTTGCGATTCGAATTGCGTCCGCGAGCGGCCCCGCAGTTGAGCTCGCTCATCTCGTCAACGCAGTGGCGAATCTCAGGGCCCGTCTCGCAACATAATGTCGTTCTTCGCTGAGCGGCACAACTTGCATGTTTGCGGGGGCCGAACGAATGCTCTTCCAGCCTCGGCCTGTCTTGTCTGCGCAGACGCCACGCCTCTGCAGTGCATGCCGCCACCGTTAGTCTCGAGCTCCCGCCCGCGCCCCCCCTTCAAATTTTGATGGGGAGTACGGTGCTGATTCCTGCAATTCGGATCATGTCCGCGGGCGGCCCCGCAGTTGAGCTCGCTCATCTTATCGATTCAGCGGCGAATATGAAGTCCCGTATCGCAACATTCTGTTGGTCTCTGCCAAGTGGCAAACGTGGCACGTTTGCGGGAACCACGCGAATGCCCGCCGAGCCTCGGCGCGTCGCGTCTGCACAGGGACCTCGCCTCCGCAGTGCACGCCGCCACCGTTGGTCTCGAGCTTCCGCCCGCGCCGCCTTCAAAACTTGATAAAAAAGGGGGCGCGGTGCAGATTTCTGCAATTCGAATCGCGTCCGCGAGCGGCCCCGCAGTTGAGCTCGCTCGCCTCGTCGATCCAGTGGCCAATCGCAGGGCCCGCCTCGCAACATAATGATGTTTTCCGCCAAGTGGCAAAAAGAGCATGATTGGGGAAGACCGTTG